AGAGCGGGTTTCGATTAGACTGGGGACTGATACTTACAACACCAATGGTGCCGATGCCAAGGAACATGTTGGCAAAGTTTGGTGTCACAGGGCGAAGGATTGCCAATACCATCTGGATTCAAGCATTTCAGCTTCTGTGATTGGAGGATTTTTCTTTGGAGCGACATTCATTGGATGAAATTGGATCGTTGCAAATCTTCGATAACTGAACCTGTAACACTGCAACGTGTTGAAGTTGATGCACCGGCTATAGCGACACATGCGACGAGGCATGTTCGACTAAACAACTATTGCAATCATAAGGACAAGTATTCGCGACGTGTTGATGGCGGCTATAGGAAGCTTGGGGGGGCAGTGTGATGGTGGCATGTAAAGCCACATCTTCTAAATAGCTTCTACAACCCGCAGCCAACACACATGGAGTGTGCTCCAACGGAATATAGTGAAGCACATCATGAACTACATCATGATGCTGGTATAAACAGCGTTCAGCTGGATCATAAGAAGACACATGCGGATATTAAAGGACACAGCTGCTGATGGACTTGCACTTGAGTGCAACCAGAGCAGGCTCTAAGGGCGGCTATCCCTGGACTGCCAAGGTGGCAGGCGATAGCGCCCGCAAGCTAAATTAGATAGCTCACTTTTGCTTTTGCAATCTGATCAGCAATACAAGTTGGTCTTCGCGGGAGTTCCAGCTCCCAAACTGTTGTTGACACGTCACAAGCCCCGAACTTGCGAAAGAATAACAACTATTTTTATTTACCAGTTTAATGTAAAAATTCAAGAGGGATCGATTGGTGCTATTTATAGCGCTCAATTTGCTTTCCTTCTGTGTTAAATATGATACTGAAGCTTAGAATTCTCATAATTCGAAAGTATATTTGGTTCTTAGACATTTTGACGGCTAGAATCATTGTGAGCTACGCTGGAAAATCGTATTCGTGCTCTCCCTGAAGTGGGCAAAGATTATCCCGTTTCTTTGCGAGGGCGTTTCTTGGTGCGCGACACAGACTTCCCGTCAGCAACCTTAGTACTAGCCGGGACAGTTCCCTGGTCATATCGTCCATCCGTTTGTATAGCCCCCCCCCGGCAGTCTCAGTCACTCCGGTAGTCTCTTGCGGCGAAGATCCTGGACCACTACACCTGAGTCCGGACTCTTACGGCATGCTCTGCTTCTTCTCCCCGCTCGTCATTTGCGATAGTGTACACAGGAACTGCTCCAACTCCATGGCCCTCCCCTCCAAGCACTTCTTGTCACAGGGGCCTCTCGAATAAGACGCGTGACGTAGATCTCCGTCATTCAAATTGATGCTACTTGCCATAGTACTGGAATCCCCGTCAATTTTACTGTCGCTTGTGAAGATCTCACTACCGCACGAACATTCATTCTCTGAATCTATGCCTCACTCGCCATCTTCACTGGCGACTTTGGTTCTGCCGCACGTGTCACTGTGCTTTTCGTCGCGAGCTACTACAGTGTCATTCTTTGGAGCCGTGGCGGTGTCTGCGAGTCCCTCCATTGCGACCGCTTACCACTGATACACCTCCTCTAAATTTTGAGATTTGATAAAATCCCCTCTCACGAGAAAATTTCTGAAGTAAGAAAAACGAAGGGTCAGATGTAAAGGCAGTTATTTCAAAAACTCAACAATGTTAGCTTAGCATCAATTTTATTACGGGGTCTCAAATGACACCTGGTGTTCCCGACCGCTCATCACAATGTATAGCAAGTTTGCTTACTGAAAGATGCACCTGCCATGCAGAATCCCCGTGAATTTTGAAGCGAGTACAGAAGCCCCCCCCTTGAATAAGCGTAGCTTGCACCTCATATACCCCTTTATATCAGACCACATAGATTCAAGGTACATTTGACAAATCATAAGATCGCTGTGATTTTCCTATGCAAAATTATCCGACGACCCCAACGCTTATTGGGGGGGGGGCTTCTGTACGACGAATTCCGACGACTATAAATCTGTGATGAAACCTTAGTATGCTTCTAAAAACTGGTGAGCGCGCAAAGGATAGCCAAGCCCTACTTTACAAATTGATTTGCTACCTCCAGATTAACTTTAGCCGTGCTCGCACCAACAACCGATGAAGTGCTTCACGTCGACTGCGTGAACTTGGAGCTAACAGCAACGGACCCGTCCACCACTTGTCTTCGGACGATCTGTTCGATCCCGACAGCGGTACGCTACTACATGTACAGTGATCTGCCTCAATAAGAAGCACCGTGAAGCTTATATGTTATGTGGCTGATCTGGCTTCAAATCACAATTCACATGTTATGGCTCCCTGTAATCTCGCATTTATTTTTTAATTTGCATGTATGTCAGGTGCTCTTTATTAAAGCAGAATTCTGTATAAAGGCTGATGATACTATATAAACTCGAGACTATATTTACTATTGATATAGCTTTTGTAGTTCAATCACACCTCTCTAACGGAGCCTCTGTAAGTGACCATTGACTCTTACCTGACTACCAAAGTCCTTAACAAACATGACCATATACGTTTCACTAAACGGCTCTCTATAATTGGCCAAATCCTTCTTTGTTATCCAAATGATAGCTGTGGCTGGCGCACTGACTCTTTAAATGGATAGCTGTTCCAATCAGAATCAATCACACTAGCCGTTCATATCTGAGCTTTAAGGCCCTCAAACGCTGCCCAACACGTACAATGGCCCCGGCAACTCAAACTACTACGCTAACGCTAGACGAGAGACCCCAGATATGCTTGAAACGCAGCGCTACCCCCGCATGATGGACGCCGAGATGTTTGAGTAGGCTCTACTACGTTAAAACGACTGGTCAGTATAGCTACAAATCCCGACCGTATTTGCAATAAGCAACTAGGGCATCTTTGTAGTACCAAACGTCAGCTACACCGACGCCGCCAGGGAAGTGAGCTTTTTTAGGGGAGTAGCTAGTCGACTTCCTCCACAAACACGAGGTCAGCACAATCATATCGGATGACCTATTGGCTGCTCGTAGACATTGCCATAAAATCTAGACTCAAAACCTACAGCCAGAGAGTTTCGACTAGCAGTAAGCAATGTATGGCAGCACAAATTTAAAACACGCAACGATATGCCGTCAAAATGCTTACAGGCAGAAGCTGGCAGTGCCAGACCCACCTATTCTAGCATCGACAGCACTCGGGTGCTACATTAAGCTTTCGTATTTTACCCATCAGTGTGAAAGGGATGCGGAGCATGAACAAGCAATGGTTAAGTCATTGACGACGTTCGTGAGTAAAACATGATGCAAATGTCACGGTTGTTTCATTAACCAAGATGGCTACATGAAGACATTTTCGATAAATGACCGTTTCTTTAAATGAAAAGGGTATCGGCCGAGCCAATTTAATGCCGCTTAACGAGGTGTGACTGTATCGCTTGCGCGTCCAAATGGAAGACCTATAGCCAGTTTTCCTACACTTCTAATTCTAACAATGATGATGCGGTCGGATAAGACATTTAAGGAGACCAAGAGCCACCAGGTCTCCTGTACTCTGTGCAGCCATTCCGCCCCTCACGCAATGGGTGTCCGCTTACTTGTGTGTAACCATCTCACTTGCGCTGGCGTCGAACCCCAGGCCCCCTGCTTTTGGCGGGGCAAGACGCTAGCATACCAGCATCTTAACTTCATGCGGGTGGAGGAGGCAGGTGTGCACCTCTCTCCTGCTCCGTCTCCTACACGGAACCGCCTCACCGCACCAATGAAGGCGGTGGCTCGAGAGTGGGCGGCTCAAGGACTAAAACCTTCATAAATTCGCTCGGTTTTTTTGTGGCGCTTTAACCTTGGCAAAGACTCGCTTCCCCCAGCTTTCGGTGGGGCAGAG